GGCATTTATGTGATTTGTACCTAATCTAATGAAGTTGGAAAAGTTACTGTAATGAAATATTGATCTAATGTTATAAGTTTGGTTTGATATAAAAAAAAAAAACTGTACTTGGCCTTTAAATAAAAATGCAGGTAACAAGGGTTTCTAGGACAAGCAAGTATGCCTAACTTGGAATAAACAATAATTTCATTATTTAAATACCTTACAATCCAACCTTACAATGCCTTTGTGAAAATGGCAATAACATAAAAATCGCTAATAAAATAAGGCCATTATACTAAGGTTGTTTAATTAGTATATGTTGTCCCTATTAATGAATTTCGATTCCATTGCATTGAAGAACGTTAATTGACCAAATTGTTAACTACAACACTTAAACGGACCGGATTTTAAGTGAAATTTTCCTCGTCATCAGCTGCATTCGCAGTCTGTTCGACTTCCGCTTAGTTTCTTAAAACTTTGTGAGTCATATTTGGCGATTTTGGAGGTCGTTAAAATATTAAAATTACATTCTATGGTAGATGGTTAGTTGTTATGCGATTTATCTACATAACTCCATCATCTTGGAACATTAAAATTACTTAATATTTTTTTTGAATTGATTCTTCGACCGCTTAATTGGTGACAATAATAACGACGAGAAGACACTTATAGAAGATGTAATTGTTATTGACTACAATCCATCATAAATTTTTCGAAGTAAAACACTACAAAGAACATTAGATTATAGGAAAAATAAATAATGTTTTAAACTTGATTACGAGGTGGTTTGCGCTACGTAGGTACAAAATAAACGGATGCTGTCATCATCGCAAATAGAGTTCGTACAACGTTTTATTTTGTTAGAATAGAATAAAAGAAATTGAATTAGGACTTGGTAAAACAATGCTGTGTCTAGAGTGTGCTCAGTGATGTCATCAGAGCCACAAAGTGTGACGGTCGCAACTCCATATATGACCACCTTAGATATAAAAGTACTAAGCACGTTCCACATGTTGGCATGGAAGCAGTTGAAGGAGCTAAATGTTAGCTTTATACCCTATTTTGGGACTTAGAAATGCTTTCCTGAGCACGTGCAACAATTAGGAATAGCACATTGTTCGGAGCTTGGAACTTGTTGAGTAAATAATGTTTGTACTCTGTTCCAGGAATGAAGGCTTAGAACTCTGAGGATAACTGCAATGATACTCAAATAAAGTTCACATTCTTTGAAAAATTTACGCAAATATCACAAAGAGTTCTTGCAACGGTTAGTGTAAACAGGTACTGCTGTGCTAATATAAGTCGTTTATCAAAAGAATTTGCACACTACAATAACACAGTCAAATGTTTTTGTCTCTTGCATGTTTTATGAAGCCAGAGCACCAAGTAAAGCCAAGCTTACGTCATGTTTAACGTTAAACAAGTCCGCTGTAGATTGTGGTGTTAAATTTGTATTAGTATTGGGAACTACAGATTTTGATTGTTTTTTTTTACAAACTCATACTAAATTATGTTTTAACTCAAAATAAAAATACAACTGACAACACCAAAGGAGCGTGGAAACTTAAATAAGAATGAAGACAATGCGTGATTTGAAGCAAAAATAGTGGTTTTACAGTAAAAATGTTTTAACGTCTTTAATTGTGCTGTCAGAATACAAACAATTCTCGTCAATGCTGATCGACGTTTCTCGAACGAATATTTATTTAGATACTACTTACTTAGTTCGTATTGTCTGTTGACATTGAAAATTGTTTTGAGAAAATAATAAGCAGCTGGTTTCTTTTACTTATCTTTGCGTGGCTCGAGAAATTATGCGCATATCGTGTGTAAACACTCACAAACGAGAAATGTAAAACACCCGCAGGGGCAATCATCCAAATGATTTCCTTAAAATGCAAATAAAACTATTTCAAAGCAGGCGGCGTGGTGAATAAAAGGTTTGCCGGCGTGCGTGCGGCTTGCAGAATGTCTGGAATGCTCCATGCACTTCTCAGAACACGACTGGCCCTCCATTCCTGCCCTTAGGTAGATGCGTTTTGCACCATTAGCTTTTTCTCCAGCTATATGATGTACCGCCATCAAGATTTTTTAATGACTGATGCACCATTTCTTTTGCTTATATGGTATTACCTTGAACTCTGCATTTCCATTTTCGGGTATATTTGAGAATATTAACATCACTATATAAATATGTGTTGTAAAAGTCGTAGGTTGAACGAAAATGATATTCTGTGATCAATTTTTTTTTATGTTTTACGATCATGTGTTGTGTATATTGTTATGATCGAGTCATCTCTATATACGCTGCGACTAAGGCTTACACATGTGAACCATTTAAACCAATGAAGGCCAACAGTTCCTTGACCTCCGATTTATATTAAAATAAAATTTATCCTATCAAAATTCGGAACTGTTAAGACCTAAGTAATTTATATCATCTATTATTTTGGTAAACTACTGTAATTTACTCAATCCACCGAATTTTCGGGAACGGGAATTTATGTAACTGATTCAATATTCTGTAATTGTTATAGCTAGCTACTCGAGTTTAATTAAACTGTTAATAATTTGACTTGGTATTCATTGGTAACTGGTTACCAAATTTTGTTATTGTTATAAGAAATTTGAAATGTAAGGATTCGTTATATTTGAATTGAAAAATTGCGTAAAAGGGAAAATAATTTCGAGTATGAAATAAAGTTACTCTTACTTGCCCGCTTTTTGTCAATGCCAAATTTGTTTTTTGCCACCACTATGTTATTCCAGTTGCGGAGAGCGATTTATTCAACTTCGACTGAATAATGTCTTGATCAGTACTTTAAATGGAAATCAGCGTTTTACACGATCATAAATTGCAGCTTAACAAGCGTTAAGTTAACGGAATTATTGTATTTTATTTCAAATGTAGAATGGTTGACATGAATACACGAAGTAACGGTGCCTGGCAGATATAGTTTTTTAAACAATTTGATAAGGTTGGATATTGGAAGCGGTACGCTTACTGTAGAGGATCACATGACCGTATAGCCTTGTCTTTATCCGCAACCGGTTGCAAGATCAATTAAACCGATTGATTGACTATCCACAAATTGTAATAGTCCATCTGATGTCACGTACCTCTCGCAAATAGAACGCTTCTAATGGCCACAATTAGGTCAATCATTTAGCAAATTATATACTTCGTTACTATCTACATACAGATCAAAATTTAACGTACCATGAAGTCCACATATTCTATCAAAACTAGCGGTTGCATATAAAATTTTACCATACTGCGAGGAACGGTATTATAATGTGTGCCATGACAACAAACGTAATGACAGGAAACGCTCAGACAATTGGGATTTTATTACAACGCGGGAAGCACACACATGGACAGACAGACAGACCTATTGAGAACATGAATAGCATCAATTGAAGAGGCTTAAATGAAGCTTTACCTTTTATTGCAACAACGCTCAAAGTAACTCAAGTGCATCGATATCTATTTAAAGACGTAATAATTCAACATTACTTCAAACAGAGAAAACAATACTAGAATCACAATTTATCGTTGCAAACAATTATGTGTAAGAAAAGTGGAATCGATTATTTGGAACCATTGATTTATTCCACTGTAGAACAATGGGAAGCTTTATTGCTTATTGGAAATTGAAATTGAAGTGATTGATGTATAAGTTGTTACAGAACGTACTAGGCTTCCAGACTGGTTTAAGACTTCCTCCGATGAATCATCTGGGTCAGAGAGCCGTGACCGTAAAAATGAAAAGGCAACTAGCAAATTTAATTAGGGTTCCTTTGAAAGGAGTTCAAACTTCATCAATGTAGAAGGTATCGCAAGGGAGAACAGAGATTCGTTTTGGCACGTATTCTCCAATCAAGGTTATTGTTACGTTATCGTCAGTTGTAATAACTATCTTGATGTCGTCAGTTTATTACACCAAAAACATGTACAACGTTATGAGGACATTCTGCCGTAATAATGGTCCTGCGTGAGTTTTCGTTCACTACAGAAAAAGTATAGGAAAATTCCTCGTCTTCGGTGACGGTGCTTCAACTTGCTTCGGTTTAAGTTTTTGCTGTTTGACGGTCAGGCGCACGACGTGCAATGAATAGGTTTAAAATTGTGAGTGAAAGCTCTCCACATCTGCAATTTCTTCGTTCTCCTTATGCAATTTCCAGTTAAACGTCATTTAGTATGTTTGTAATGGTAATTTTATGTATTTATTTTATTTGATAAGTACTTGAGTTGCATTGTAGTTGTCGAGTGTCATCGTTGAGTCACAAACGAACATTTATCATAAAACACCTTGGCGCTATACACGTCTTGATTATATTATTTGTAATATTACTAAGAACCACTATTAGGGCTAATTGCTAAAGATTATTGTTTATCTTTGTGTGATAAAATTTGTTTTGTACTAAGGAAACAGTGAATCGTGTTCTTTATCAATATTTTTTGGATGTTCTTGTTTACTATGTCAAAAACTTATTTGATAGATACCTACTAATAAAATATACGAGAAAATCGACGAGAAGTACGTAACATAAAGAGGCTTAAACTCAAGGAGATTACTTAAGTAGCAAGTAATGTCATGCGTCAGCGCAAGAAATGAAGACGAATGTTCATAAGTTTCACAACACAAAGAAACTGTAACCTTATTGTCTTCAGTGGCGATAACCGTTGTTTGAACACGAAACGCAACACCAGGGGGCACAAACAGAACACACAAGTCACAGAAACACTGAACACCATGGGAAACTGGCACGTGATTTACCAAAATTGACACATTGAATGTATGATGAGCGCAGGGTGCGCAGGCGGCGGAGGCAGCGCCGCGCGCCGCGCCTCGCCTCGAGCCTTCCACTCGCCTCTATGTACACACCGCCCTCGGTAAATTCTTTGCATAAATAAACGAGAAAGCTCCAGCTAACCCACTAAAACTGTCGTTTCCTTTGCACTCACTTCGCGGGTCAAGATGCACTGCTTCCAAAACATTTTAAAAGATCCTTACCTTTCACACTGCGCAGTAATGATGTTCTATCACGATCGATGAGGGCAAAACAAGCGAAAACCAGGCACAGTCACGTTCGTGCGGATACGTCGAGAGCAATGGCGCCGCACCGCCGGTTCGTTCGTCGTTTGTCGAGTAGAGCGCAGACTAGGAAGGCAAGCCTTGTTTGCACAGTGACGTGAGGCCAGATGCCTCCTACCTTTTCTACGCCACGCGATTCACCTCAACCCAGAAAGAGACAACACTATTGTTATCGACCTCGTCGTTTACCTGTGGTGCAGCAACCTACATCACCGGTGCGTCGAATAAATTGAACAATGTCAAGTCTGATATTTGCTTAATGTGTCTTAAAGTTATCTGTAAAATTCGAATTAGCGTCCTTAATTGACTCTTTGCAGCATGGTACATATTTTCACGGGACCTAATCTAAAATTTTAATGAATTTAATCTTTGTTCGCGTGACTATTGTTTCGATTAAACCGAGGACTTCCAAACATTCAAAATAAACTGTTTAGTCCGTACAGTTTAATAAACTGTGTAGTTTGTAGAACGAAAAAATATCCAATCAAGCTTACTACAATAGCATTAAACAAGAGAATGCATTAAATGAAGCACCCCGAACTTAAGTTACAAAGAAAAGTTTTCAGAGTGCTGCCATCTATAATTAAAAGATCATAGCTTGTTGTTGTCGCTCTACTGACCACGCGCAACGTAAAGACACGTGGTGTTTTATTTATGTTCTCTTGGATACTTAGAACTACAAATAAAAATGGATAGATGGCGCTACTAACACGTATTCGTTATCGTACTTCAGCAAGGTACAGTTTTCAAATCTGCGTGATTTATGTAACGTTGTTTCATAGAGGCAAATGAAAAGATACCTAGGATTATAAACAAGTAATGAACAATATTTTTCAAAATTTAAACGTTTTTTTTTAATTTTAAAGTTGCACAAAAACCACAAGACTCTTAAAATACGTATATGACGGGTTAAAAACATTTAATGTTATGTTATTCTTTTAATTATTCCTATAAGTTAATGGGAGGTCGCATGGACAGTTGCACGTAGTCCATCAGCGAACTGGTTCCCAAACTCCAAAGGGATGCATACACACATGTCGCAAGTCACGTAGGATGTATAGCGACGACGTGACGAACTGACAAAATTAAATCACCACACAGTATAAAACAAAGTCGCTTTCTCTGTCTCTATATCCCAATGTATGCTTAAGTCTTTAAAACTACTCAATGTATTTTGATGCGGTTTATTTTGATACATAGATCGGTTGAAGATGAAGGTTTATATGTAGGTATATTAAAAAAATAACAACGATTAAATTGTGAAGAAAATTATTAAGTATCAGCATTGCAACCGTGGACCAAAAGATAGGGTTACTAATTTTAAAATGGCTATGAATGACATATACGTTTACTCACAGTACTCCTCGCATAAGGATATAGACACTATAGGTAGCTTTAGTAGTGTTGCTATTTATATTTGTAGTCTAAGTTATAAAAAAGAGTAAAAGAGATCTTCAAATTAGGCGATAGATATGGCGTGTAATGTGAAAAAGGAACTGGACATTGCTTGATTCATCTATCACTTGGTTGACGGACTTGGATTTGCAGTAAAGTCATTTAGGGTCAATTCAGAGAACTCAACCTTTTTTTTTGTGAGGGGAAAATCATCAAGATGAGTGTCAGACTCTTACTGACTAAAAATCTCCCCATTTCTTCTCCTGCTTTAGGTCGATTCTGCCTCTTTTTTCTAAGTGTTTTTTTTAAGAAATATTACAGTCTATTTGTTATCATTCTCGCGTCAAAAGGAGCATTCGATGCGAGGTTTACCGTATGAGAAATAATTTAACATCAAAACATTGTGATTATCTAAGTATTTATTTAACACAGCTATGTATAGAGGTCAAATATTCTCATTAACGAAGCCCTTACGTGGAAACCTCTATCATAAACCCCAGTACTGAAGCTCATAGACATAAATAAAGACGGAAAGTTGCTTGAATGGAATCTCTTTGATTACGTCGCGACGCCGGCTAGTGTGAAGCTACATTTAATCGATACCGAAGTAATAACGATTTATCAATGTATTCGATGCCTGATCGTGAAAGTCAAAATCGATTAGCAACCTTCTGATTGAATGTTTAGCAAATAGAAAGTGCGGTTGTGATTTTTGAGTAGCAATATCGGTAAATATTGATGTTGTCGGTTTTGTCAAAGGAAATAGGGTCATTTTATTTTAAATTCCATCAATTTAGTTCTCAGTTAGATTTTATTTTGTTGGGGAAAATCATCGGATGGCTTCTCCCGCCCAGGGTCGAGCGGGAGGGAGTGTCAGACTCTTGCTCACTAAACCCCGTTTCTTCTCCTACTCTGGGCCGAGGCCACGGTGCCTCATTACGCTTACCCCGCAACCCCGGCTGAGTTCTAAATTAGATTTAGATTGTATTTTAGCGTAAAAAACTTTAGATCTCTTTTTTTAGTCCTCGCAGGTCCTCGCATAGGTGCCTTGTCAAAAAGGTGTCGCCGATGCTACAATGCTACGTCGTCCGGTACTTACAGGTATTTGAAAAAAAAAACTTATATTTAATAATGGTTTAAATTATTTGGGACAATAAGCAAACAGTCCTGAAGGCAATAGCTAAAAAAAACACTTTAAACTTTTTTTTGCTAAGACTAAGTCTAAATAGTCAGAAAAGACAATGTTGTCATTGTTCCATACACAACACATGCAGTAATTTTTGGGTCTTAATCGGGAACATATACATATAACAGTAAAAAATATATAACAAAATAACAGTTTCAAATCTCTCGTAAACCAGGTAAAGCAACCTGGCACAGTGCACACACTTATCTTCATAATTGACATCAAGGAACCACTTTCGCTCGCATTACTAATGGACCGTCAGAACACATCGACAGCCAGGACATTTACTAGTGATAAATCCAAGTCTAGAATCAATGTCCACTTTCGAAAACTCAGTAGTCTTGATATTATTCATTAAGGAAATAATAAATTGGTAGGGAAATGGCCAATCCATAGATCACGATGCCCAAGGCGCTTTACTCCAGTGCTGGGTGAAATATTAGGTTTCTGTGCGGCTCAGCACGGTGACAAGAAGTTATGAATTACGTTAGATTTGAAGTACCATTGTTATTTCAGAATACAATGGCTGAAAAATAAAAAATGATTCTCTTTGTAAGAATGAAATTGGATGTGATTATGTTGCGTAAGTTTTTGTCATCCGATTCTTTCAAACGAACCTTTTGGGAGACCAAGATTAAAAGAGGAACGGAGGATGCTCAAAAATCTTTTGATTTTTATACGGACCTCCTTTTGTAACGGACCGGTTTTACTTCCAAATACAATATAATACACGTGTAATATAGACAAAATAAAAATTCACAACGCCTCATTCCTTTATAACCGTTATCAATACCTTCATAAATTTGTAGAACTTTCTTTAGTTTACTGATACTGCCTTGTATAATTGTACAGTAAACCTGATTTGTGACAGAAAAATAAATAGGTAGGGGCTTTTCCAACTATACATTTTAATACGTGATTAACAATGACTAATATCCTGTACCGTTAAATCACAGCGTCTAAGCACTTGGCAATATCCTAAACATATCTGAATACTTAAGAGCAATTTGTAAAGTCAAATAGTTTGAACTCAGTCGAGTGGATTTTCGACTATAGCTATTTTATTTAATGGTCCTAATTAATTTGTTGCAGCTCAGAATAATTTGTTAGTCACTCGAAAGGTGGATGACTTAACTTGTTTCTTATAAATACATTGCATTAGGTAATAAAATCAAGGTTTCGAAAGTATCCCTGCTACAATTACCTTCATTTTACCTTTAATAGGTATATTGATAACTTTTGAAGGTTGTTGATTTTGTCTACACGTGATAGGACGGCAAACGAGCATACGGATTACCTAATGGTAAGTACCTAATCAGCGCCACCCATGGGGGTGTCCATGCATCAACGGAGTAGTTACGAGTGCGTTGCCGACCTTTTGGGGATTAAAGTTTTAGAGATCTAGAGATTTGGGTAGGGGAATCATTGGGCCTCCGGTAACCTCTCACTCACATGGCGAAACATAACGCTGCTTCACGCCTATTTTCTGTGTTGCCGTGATATCACTCCGGTCGTGCTGATCCATTCATGGTGTTCCATGGCTCTACCACACGTACCTTAATGTTTCTGTATTGCCATACTTTTTTTGGTGATAATTAAGACATGAATAAATTCTCCTTCATTCAAACATTTTCCCTTATAGAAAGTCATACTATCATTGAACATTATAATTGTTTCTTGGTATAAACGATTCATTAGGCAGCTGATAACCCTACTATTTTTATTATACTAATTATCCAGTTTTATACAAGCTCCTTTGGCATGTTGATTAACGTTTACAAATACTATTTCATTACTGCACTCAATTATCTGACTTGTCTTGGTTTTGTGGAAGCTGATGTATGATACTGTGCAATCATTAATTCAAGTGGCTCTAGTATTTTTTGCTTACCGCTTCTACGTTTCTTCGCTCGATGTCTTAGCTTCAAAGCTCGCCGCTAGCTTTCACCAGCGATCACTGCTGCTTATTATTTTACCAGTACCAGCTGAGCTGTCACGATATTGTACGGCGAACAGTTTAATTAAGCGAAAACTGCACTTTTGCTAACAACTCTACACACATCTACATCTTTATAGGTACAAAGCAGTCCTCGGAATGATTGATTGATACGAAAAAAGACGCCAATGAAGATTTAAAGAAATCCAAACTTATATTATAAATGCGAAAGTAACTCTGCCTGTCTGTCTGACTGTCTTTTTCTTCACGCCTAAACTACTGAACCTATTTTTGTGACATTTGGTACACTCATACTTTTGAACTCGAGAAAGGACATAGGAAAGTTTTTAAACCAAAAATCTGCAGGAAGTCACTATGCCACGCGATTTGCGAGTCGCCGGCAAAAGCTAGTAATCAATAAGAAAATAAAATAATTTCGTTCAGCAAACGTTTTTGAGCAATCAAAAAAATACAATCGAATTGAGAACCTCCTCCTTTTTTTGAATTCGGT